AGCAATGAGATTGAAGCAGTAATTAAGTCTTCCTGCAAAGAAAAGCCCAGGACTGAATGGCTTCACTGCTGAATTCTAACAAATGATTAAAAAAGAATTACTACCAATACTTTTCAAATCATTTCAAAAAACTGAAACAGGGCCGGCCCGTGGCTCACTCGGGAGAGTGCGGTGCTGATAACATCAAGGCCACAGGTTCGGATCCTATATAGGGATGGCCGGTTTAGCTCACTGGCTGAGCGTGGTGCAGACAACACCAAGCCAAGGGGTGAGATCCCCTTACCGGTCATCTTTAAAAAAAAAAAAAAAACTGAAACAGAGGCCATTTTCCCAAACTCACTCTATGAGGCCAGCATTACCCTGATACCAAAGTCAGACAAAGATATAGAAAAAAAGAAAACTACAGGCCAATTTCCTTTATGAACATAGTTGCAAAAATCCTCAACAATGTATTAGCAAACAGAATACAGCAGCACATCAAAAGCTGATATATCACGATCAAGTGGGATTCATCCCAGGGATGCAAGGATGGTTCAACATATACAAATCAATAAATGTGGTACACCATATCAAAAAAATCAAGGACAAAAAAACCATATGATTGTCTCAATAATGCAGGAAAAACATTTGACAAAATTCAACATCCTTCATGATAAAGACTCTCAGCCAATTAGGTATAGAAGGAAAATATCCCCACACAATAAAAGCCATATATGATAAACCCACCACCAATATCATCCTGAATGGAGAAAAGCTGAAAGCTTTTCCTTTAAGGACAGGAACAAGACAAGGATACCTACGTTCACCATTCCTATCTAACACAGCAACAGACATACTAGCCAGAGCAATCAGGCAAGAGAAAGAAATAAAGGGCATTCAAACTGGAAAAGATAAAGTCAAATTGTCCCTGTTTGCAGATGACACGATCCTGTACATAGAAAAACCTAAAGACTTCACAAAAAAAAAAAAAATTAGAGCTGATAAACAAATTCAGTAAATTTGCAGAATAAAAAATCACTATACAAAAAATCAGTAGCATTTTTATACTCCAACAATGAACTAGCAGACAAAGAAATCAAGAAAGTAAGCCCATTTACAATACCTAACAGAAAATAAAATGCCTAGGAATAAATTTAAACAAGGAGGTAAAAGATGTCTATAACGAGAACTACAAATCATTGCTGAAAGAAATTAAAGAGGACACCAAAAGATGGAAATTCATTCCATGCTCATAGATTGGAAAAATTAACGTTGTGAAAATGTCCATACTACTCAAAGCCATCTACAGATTTAATGTGATCCCCATCAAAATACCAATGACATTCCTCACAGAAGTAGAGAAAACAATCCTAAAATTCATATGGAACAACAAAAGACCCCAAATAGCCAAAGCAATCCTAAGCAAAATGATAATAATAAAGCCAGGGCATTACAGTGCATGACTTGTGGCACTGGCATAAAAACAGACATGCAGACAAATGGAACAGAATACAGAATCCAGAAATCAATCCATGTACTTACAGCTAGCTGATCTTTGACAAAGGCACAAAGAATATACACTGGGGAAAAGACAGACTCTTCAATAAATAGTGCTGGGAAAACCAGATATCCATGTGTAGAAGAATAAAACTAGACCCCATACCTCTCACCACATACCAAAATCAACTCAAAATGGATTAAAGACTTAAATAAAAGTGCTGAAACTATAAAACTCCTGGAAGAAAACATAAGGGAAATACTGCAGAATGTAGGACTAGGCAAAGACATTATGAAGAAGACCTCAAAAGCTCCAGCAGGAAAAGAAAAAAAAAAAAAAAAAGGGATTATATCACACTAAAGAGCTTCTGCACTGCAAAGGAAAAAATTAACAGAGTGAAAAGACAACCTACAGAATGGGAGAAAATATTTGAAAACTATACTTCCAACAAGGGATTAATATCCAGAATATACAAGGAAATCAAACAACTTAACAGTAAAATAAAAAAAATAGAAAAATAAAAAATTCCAAAGGAGCTGAATAGACATTTCAAATGGCCAACAAGTACATGAAAAAGTGCTCAACATCACTAAGCAACAGGAAAATGCAGATCAAAACTACACTGAGATATCATCTCACTCCATTTAGACTGGTCATTATCAAATAGACAGAGAATAACAAATGCTGGTGAGGATGCAGAGAAAGGGGAACTCTCCTCCACTGTTGGTGGGAATGTAAACTAGTGCAGCCATTTTGGAAAACAATATGGACGTTTCTCAAATATCTACAGAGAACTGCCATATGATCCAGCAAGGCCATTACTGGGTATATACCCAAAGGAATAGAAATCATTCTGTCAAAGGGATACCTGCACTGTCATGTTTATTGCAGCTCTATTTACAATAGTCAAGCAATGGAACCAACACAAATGTCCATTGATGGATGCTGGGTAATGAAAATGTGGTATACGTACACAATGGAATACTACTCAGCCATAAAAAGAATGAAATCCTGTCATTCACAGCAACATGGATGAGCTTGGAGAAAATCATGTTAAGTAAAATAAGCCAGTCACAGAAAGAGAAATACCACATGTCCTCACTCATAAGTGGGAGGAAAGAAAGAAAGAATGAAAGAAGGAAGGAAGGAAGGAAGGAAGGAAGGAAGGAAGGAAGGAAGGAAGGAAGGAACACAATAATACATTGAACTTTTTAAAAAATATTTTTATTATTTTTATTTATGCATATTTATGGGGCATGGAGTTGACTATCGGCATTTTTGTACAGTATGTTATGACTAAATCAATATTATTAGCATCTTCATCATTACAAACTGTAATTGCTTTTTGTGTCCTGTATTAGTCTATTTCTGTTGCTTATAACAAAATACCTGACACCGGGTAATTTAAGAAAATGAAGTGTATTGCTTACAGTTTCAGAGGCTGGGAAGTCCAAAATCCAGAGAACACAGATGGTGAAGGCCTTGGTAGTGGCGACAGTGACCCAAGGGAATCACATGGCAGAAATGGCAGAGCAGAGAGAAAGAGAGTTCCTCATCCACTCTCTTTTTAAAGCCCCAGAACCACACCCCTGTCCACCATTTTTAATTCATTCTCTAGGCATAGTCCTCAGAATCGAATCACTTCCTCAAGGCCCCACCTTTCGATTATCATAATAGGATTTTCCATTGTCTTTACACTGTGTCAGTGGGGACTAAGTGTTGGCGGGACATTTAACCCAAGGCATTCTGCCCTTGGCTCCCAAAACTCATGTCCTTTTCATACACAAATACATTTATTTCATCCCCAAAGTCTTAACTTGTTTCAACCCAAAAGCCCAAAGTTCAAAGTCCCACCTGTGAAATCAAAAACAAGTTATCGACTTCCGAGATACAATGGTGAGACAAACATAGGGTACACATTCCCATTCCAAAAGAGAGAAATAGGCCAAAAGAAAGGTGTGATAGGTCCTAAAGTCTGAAACCCAGCAGGGCAGGCATTAAATCTCAAAGCAGGCAAACCATGTGCTTTGACTCCATGTTTAATGTCCCCTGCACACTGGTGCAGGGGTTGAGTCCCCAAGTTCTCCGGCAGCCCCACTTCTATGGCTTTCCTGGTCTCAGGCCACACTTCAGCTCTCCCAGGCTGTGTTGCATGCTGGCAGGTCCACAGGTCTGGGGTCTCCATGGTGATCCCATTCCCATGGCTCCACTAGTCATGGCGCTGTTGGGGTTTTTCTGCCACAACTCTGACCCCACATTTCTGCTTGCATTGCTCTAGCAAAGGCTGCCTGTGGTGTCTCCACCACTGTGACAGATCTCTTCCTGAGCCCCCAGACTTTTCCATACATCCTTTGAAATCAGAGTGGAGGGTCCCAAACCTCCACACTCTGACATTCTGAGAACCTGCAGCCCTAACACCATGTGGGCTCCACCATGGCTTCCAGGTTGTATTTTCTAAAGCTGAGGGTCCAGCCACATGTGGGGCCAATTCAGCTATAGTTGGAGCAACCAAAGGAGCCAGAGTGCTGGTGCTGGAAGCAGCTTCCCAAAGTGGCCCTGGACAGTGAGCCGGTGGAGGGCAACTCAGGCCTGCTCCCCAAGACCATTTTGTCTCCTTAGGCCTTTGGGCCTGAAATGGAAGTGTTGGCCCCAGAGACTTCTGCAATGCCTTCAGGGCCTTTTCCCCCTTGTCTTGATAATCCCTTTGTTTTGTACTAATCTTCTTAGCACCAGTGCATTTTTCTTCTAAAAATGCTGTCTGCTTCTTTACCACATGGCCAGGCTGTAAATTTTCCAAATCTTTATACTCTGCTTCCCTTTTAAATTCCGGCTTTACATCGCACCTTTGCCACCGTAACTCAGCATAGGCTGTTACAAGTAGCCATGCAGCTTCCTGAATGTTTTGCTGTGTAGAAATTTCTTCTGCCAAATGCTCTGGTTCACAACTCTTAAGTTTCAATTTCCACAAAGTCCTAAGGCATGGACACAAAGCAGCCAAATTCCTTGCCAGTTCATAACAAGGATAATCTTTGCCCCAATTTCCAATAAGTCCCTTCTCATTTACATCTGAGATCTCTTCACTATGGTCTTTACTGTCCATATTCTATTAGCATTCTGCTCACCACCATTTAACCAGTCTTTAGTAAGTTCCAAACTTTCCCTCATCTCTTTGCCTTCTTCTGAATCCACCATACTCCTCTAACCGTTGCCTAACACCCTGTTCCAAAGCTGTTTCTACATTTTCAAGTATTCAAAGTCTATGGAACTCATCTAGTGAGGGTCTCAGTGGTGGTGACAGTGACCCATGAGTCTCACATGGCAGAAAATAGTGGAGCAGAGAGAGACTAACCTCTCATGTGGTCTTCTTTTAAAGCCCTCAGAACCACAGCCCTGACCACTATTTTTAATCCATTTGCTTTGGCATGGTCCTACAATCTAGTCACCTCCTCGAGGCCCCACCTCTTGATTACCATAATAGGATTTCCCACTCTCAACAGTTACAGTTAAGCTTCTAATATATGAACTTTGGGGACACAATTTGATCAATCCACAGCAGGTAGTGTAGTGAGTTTGGAGAATGAACTTTTCTTGCAGGTTCCACATCTTATGGAGGGTCTGTTGAGTTCCAGTAGTGCTCAGCATCTTTCAGTAAGTAGACTGAGGTGGGAAACTGGCTCATCCTTCATTTGCCCACAAGATTATATAACAGACCAATTAATTTTCTGCAGAAAAACATTAAGAATTAGGAATTAAATGTTTAAGGTTTTCAACAATTCCTTCTGGCTCTTTTTAGCAAAAAGGTTAACAGATTCAGAGAACTGAAGTAAAAACAGATAGAAAAACAGTCAGGGTTAATGCAAAGTACAGTCCTGTTTTATCATGTCCTTAGTATTCTGCTTAAGCTTTCCATTTGTTTTTGGCAAAGAATCTTTTAAGGAGGCAATTTGGATTAATTTAGTCTTTAATATGTCTCTGGATACCAATTAAATACACCTGTGGGGAAAATAGGATAATTTAGTCAGGCTCCCTCAGCTCAGGTCTGGTTGGGTGTGGAGCAGCACATTTCTTTGTAAATAAGTTGTGTGTGGGTGGAGTTAGTGCGCATGTGCACCCATGTATCTTTTTAGTTTTGTTGCTATTGTATGCTCTGCAGTTTGTGAAGCAGGCTGGCCGGCAGAGAGTTCATGTCTAAAAATAGAGCATGTTTTCTGGCAGCTGCTGTTTTTCTTTGGACTTTGCCTGTAGCAGTTGAGTTTCTGAGTTTCTCCTTTGGACTGTTTAGCTTCTAGATGTGTGTGTGCTGAATAAAGACTATTCCTTCTTCAACCAAGGCTCCAAGGACATTTTTGCTGGTTACCTAGCTCATAGGCCTGTGTGTGAAGGGTTTGTGAATGGGCTCGAGGGCCTTTGAGCTCCAGAGACCAAGCCCTAGCTCTACAACACCCTATTGTTTTTGTGGGGGTTTTGATCCTTGCTTTTTCTAATATGCCTCACAAATAAACATTTTCATCCAAATTAGATTTCTCACTGTTGCCACTTTAGTTCCAGGTTACCTTTGGTAAGGCTAACCCTACCTATCTACTGAACCCAGTCCAGCTCTGTCTGGCCCAGTCAGACTCAGGCCTCCCTATAGGACCCAGTTCTGTTTTTGTTGCAACTTTTAAATGTTACATTCTCTCTTGCAGCACAAAACCAAACCCTGGATTCAAACCCCCACACCCCCTCCCCCCAAATTAAAAATACCTACCAAAGTCCTATAACTGTATCCATTTAGATAGAATTTACATGAAGAATACAAAGGGGTTCATATCCCTTAGAGGTTTTACTGTAAGATGCTCCCATGGTAATGATCTATTAGAAGAAACTGAAACCCGAATCTCCTGCCTGATGGCAGAGATAGAATCCTATGCTTCTGGAGACAGGATGAAGTACATTAAAAATAAAAGGAAAAAACAAAAAAACCAAAAAAACACCAAGAGCCTCAAATAAAGGATTAGAACCTCAACCAAAAGGGTGGTACATTCTGATCCAGGTTGACTTACCCCAACACACCAACACATACATGGAGGCAGGAAGGCACAACACACCTGAGCAGGTACCTTGCATAAGTCCAAGAGAGCACTGGGATGCTGAGGAAGGTCGCTCTGCATCTTGCTGACTATGCCAGAGATGTCAATCTAAGCAAATGACCAATGAAGAAAATTCATTTGAGAACTCATAGTGCATTGTGATTTCAGAACCAGGCAGCAGTCTGGACGAAAATTGGTTTAGAATGCTCCACACACACCCCACATGTGCATGCAGGTCATATTTATAACCAAAAAAAGGAAGTCAGATACAGAAACAACCTGATTGGCTGCAGTTGGTATTTGTCTTATATGGTCATGTTTTGGCAGCATTCAGCCTCTAATTTGCTGGAGGTTCAGTTACTATAATTGGCTGATACTCAGCTACCTGTTACAGGAATATACAACGGTACTTTGGAAAGTTCATGGAAAAATAGAATTAAAAGATAATATGGGGCTGAGCCCATGGCGCACTCGGGAGAGTGCGGCACCGGGAGCACAGCAGCGCTCCCGCCGTGGGTTCAGATCCTATATAGGGATGACCGGTGCGCTCACAGCGCTCACTGGCTGAGCGTGGTGCGGCCGGTCTCAAAAAGGACAAAAAAAAAAAAAAGATAATATGAATCTTTCTATGCACTTTTTGAAGACCTCTCATACTCCCAGTTTAAGTTACAGTCTGTTTATATATTGACTTGGGTTACATTTCACTATGTGCAGAGAAACCTTTAGGCCAACCTTAAAATATGTTTGGAGGCAGCTTTAGACTCAACTTGTTCCAGAGTGTTCCCTGTTATGACATGCCTGAAGCTCAAGCTGAGATGGCCTCCTGGCCCCATGTTAAGTGCCTTGACCAGACCATTTTCCTTGTCATTATTCAGGTTTAAAATTTTTGGCGAAACATTAATCTCTTAAGGCTGCCGTAACAAATTACCACAAACTGAGTGGCTTAAAACAACAAAAATGTATTCTCTCACAGTTCAAGAAACCAGAAGTCTGAAATCAAAGTGTCAGCAGGGCCACAATCCCTGTCAAGGTTCTGGGGGAGAAATCGCTTCATGACTCTCTCCTAGTCTTTGTCCAATCACACTGCTCTGTGACTACCCATTTTTTTAATCAAACCTATCATTAAAAATACACAAATTTACTTGTTTCTTTGGGTTTTTGTTTCTGTGGGTTCCCATATCATGTAACACTTATATTAAACACATCTGTATGCTATTCTCTCATTAATCTGTCTTTTGTTATAGATGCCTCAGCCATAAACTTAAAATGGGGGAAAAAGATAGGTCTTTTCTCTTATATTCCCATCATCTCAAGATACTTAATTAAGTATATCTGCAAAGCACTTTCTCCAAATAAGTTAACATTCACAGGTTCTGAATATTAGGATGCAGGTATATCTTTTTGCCGGGGGTGGGAGGAGAGTGTCAGTATTCAACCCACTGTACCTATCATACACATCAAATGACTGTATAAAATATATGTGAACTGTTTCAAGAAAAGAAAATAAACACTCACTACTCATCCTAGGAAATAAAACATTATTAACACTTTAGAAGCCCATTCTCCCTGTCCCATTCCAATTGTATTCCCTGCCTCCCCCAGAGACAAACTTTATTCTGAACTTTCCTTTTTCAGATTTCTTGAGGAATTATTGACAAGTAAAAAAAAAACTGTATATATTTAAGATGTACAACATGGCGTTTTGGTATATGTATACCTTGTGTAATGTGAGTCCCACAATCAAGCTAATTGACAAATCCATCACCTCATAGCTACCATTCTAAATTTCCTATTTATCATTTTCTTACCTTCCCTTACAGTTTTGGCAAATATAAATGATCCTTAAGTAATACATTGCTACATTACATTAGTTTTGCCTGTTTTTAAACTTTATATAAAGGGAATTACACTACATACATTCTTCTGTGATTTGCTTTTTTCCCCTATTACATTCCTGCAATTTGTCCATGTTGATGGATGTAGCTGTAGTTCATTTTCATTCGTGGACAAATATGTCAGTGAATGATGCACTTTAAAAACACCACAGTCTGGGCCGGCCCGATGGCGCACTGGATAGTGCGCTGCTTGGGAAGCGCGGCGGCGCTCCCACCCGAGGGTTTGGATCCCACATACAGACCGGTTCCCGCTCACTGGCTGAGCGAGGCGTGGGAGCAACGCCGAGGGTTG